ACTGTGCACTTCAGTAGGTCACCAGTACATGAGGGCAAACATCTGACTGCAGTGGATAAATCTGATAAAGTCTCTTTACTGACGCAGTTAATGAGAGCCAGTTGTTACTGCTGTATTCCTTTTCATTATTTATGAAATCATTTGGAACTAGCGAATAAAGCGATTAATCCTATTAACTGTTTAAATTCAAAATCGTATCATTATAAAACACAAAAAACACTCCTGACTAAAGCTCTTTTCTTGATTTTCCAAATTATTACATTTCAACTATTTCCTATAATTGTTTATTTAGATGATGATGTAATTTTTATTTTTTTTAATAGCGGTTTTCGTCTGCAAAGCTTTCAAGCATTTTTGAATGATTTACCTGGTCTTGAATGAACCCAGGAAACTGAACATTTGCATTTTGAACAAAGTTAAGTCAGGTCATCTGGACATTTTCTTTCTTTTTTTGGTGAGAATTTATTTATTTTTTGTTGTTGTTGAGACGTTTCGTCCATCATCCAAAGGACTTCATTAGTTTGAGGAGCCACAAAAACTCAGTCCTACAAGCAGCACACCAATCTAGTGAGCCAACTAATTTGCTGGTGGTAAGATGGTTTCTGGGGCCCGCCCTCTCCCCCGTTGACTCCTTTGAGGCAGCCATAGCCAAAATGGTTTAAAACATCCAGGTTCATGATCAATAATCCAGGTTAAAATCCCAAAAAGTTGTCAGGTCATCTAGACAGTTTCTTTTTTTTGTTGTTGTTGAGATGTTACGTCCTTCATCTGTGGGACTCAGTTTGTTGTGGCTCTTTGGCCTGATGAAGTCCTTTGGATGAAGGATGAAATGTCTCAACAACAAAAAGAAACTGTCCAGATGAACTGACTGAACTTTGTTGGATTTTTACCTGTATTATTGACCTTTGAATTATCCTTTTAAAAGCCAATAAACATTCCAAACATAAAAATATAGTTCTACCATCCCATCATTATCAGTTAATTGGGAGTAAAGTCACATTTTAAAAGTCAAAGCTGCACAGAAACAAGACCAAAAATGGAGATGCCTCTAGTTTAAAAATACTGCTGCTGGTTGCTATATACTGAGGAGAATGGCCTGAAAGTGCAGAGACGCTGCATAAATATTTTCTTAGTCAACCTGTTCTATTATCTTGACAGAATTCATGGGGAAATTATGATTTAGAAATATTCAATTTGTTTACAATTTGTTTATTTAAACAAAAATTCCATTACTGTCAACCCAGTGGTTAGAGCAGTCGTCCTCCAATGGGAGAGTTGGGGGTTCGATTCCATCAGCACTCACATGCTGAAGTGTCCCTGGGCAAGACACTGAACCCCTCATTGCCTCCGATGTGTGTCCCATTGGTGTATGAATGTGATAAAGCACTGATTAATCTTTGTAAAGATCTAGTAGCCTACTGTATGAATGGGTAAATCAGGGCACAGATGGTAGTGTAAAGCACTTTGAGTATCTTGAAAAGATAGAAAGGCAATATATAAATGCAGTCCATTCTATTCTATTTGCTCTTAATGATGCAATATTAGGACAAAATCATGAGCTAAAATAAACATGAACTGAAGATGAGATGACTCATTACAGTGCACACTGTATTCACTTCAAACATCAAAGAAATGTGGGACCTGTGAGTGTCCTATAAATACAATGAATTTCAGGGATAAAGATAACTCAGAGTAGAGATTTTGAACAGAGCTCTACTTTAATATGGATTTTCTGAGCAAATGAGTGACAGTTTTAGGGCAGCAAGCTCAGGAATGATCTATGGTGGAGCTGAGCTCCAAGCGCTGATGACAGTGATGTCATGTGCTGCTGCAGGGTGTGGTTGCTTTTAGGCTCTGGGCTCGGTTTCACACTGCTCCATCGCCACATACATCACCATTTGCCACAACACGCACAAAAAAACTACTCACACCAAGTTTGCATAGAATTAGTCCAGTGTATTCTTTGAGCTGCAAATGTTTTTTATTTCTTTAAATTACTTCTTGAAGTGCACAGAACTGACTGCAGTTTATTACAGTGATGTAACTCTGGGTCTTCAGCCAGGAGTGTAACTCACTTCATACATGGGAAATGATGGACGTCTCACTCTCATAGGTGAAGAACTGAATCCTTTTTATTTTAGAAAGTGCACACATTAGATGTGTAATAGTTTATAAAACCGTATCTAAAAATAATTTGAGATAAGGTTTGTTATAAGGATATAATCGTATCTTTCAGTGTATTTTTCTTTCTTGCATCTTTAAGACTGTAAATAGTAATTATTTTACATTTAATTTCAGTTTTGTTTTAAATGAGATTTGAACTATTGGACAAAAATAAGTGTCATAAACAGAGAAGTTGGAATTAGTTATTTTAAATCTAAGAATGTTTCTTTTCAACTTCAAAATTCATGCTCAATAATCCAGGTCAAACTTCCAACAAAGTTCAGTCAGGTCATCTGGACGGTTTCTATTTCTTTTTGTTGAGACATTTTGTGATTCATCCAAAGGACTTCATCAGTCCGAGGAGCCACAACAAGTTCACTCCCACGAGCAGCACACTCCCATAGTGGGCCGACCAGTTGGCTGGCGGTAAGATTTCTGAGGCCTCCTTTCCTCTGTCAGCTCCTCTGAGGCAGACATGACAAAATGGTTCAAAACACCAAGGGTGGGGGGGTCGTAGAGGGTGGCCCCCAAAAAACGTCTTATCACCAGCAAACTATTGTGTTTTTTCCCACCCCCCCACTATGGGAGTGTGGTGCTTATGGGACTCCAGTTTGCTTGTGGCTCCTCGGACTGAAGAAGTCCTTTGGATGAAGGATGAAATGTCTCAGTGGAAATAAACATTTGGTGTTTTGAGCCATTTTGGCACGTCTGCCTCAGAGGCGTTGACCGGGGAGAGGAAGGGCCCCAAAAACCATATTACCACCAGCCAACTGGTTGGTCCACTATGTGAGTGTGCTGCTTGTTGAACTGAGTTTGTGTCTCCTCGGACTGATGAAGTCCTTTGGATGAAGGATGAAATGTCTCAGTGGAAATAAAGATTTGGTGTTTTGAGCCATTTTTGGCATGTCTGCCTCAGAGGAGTTGACAGGGGAGAGGAAGGGCCCCAAAAAACCATCTTACCACCAGCCAACTGGTTGGTCCACTATGTGAGTGTGCTGCTTGTGGGACTGAGTTTGTGGCAACTCGGACTGATGAAGTCCTTTGGATGAATCACAAAATGTCTTAACAAAAAGAAATAGAAACCATCAACTCCTCTGAGCACCTATAGCCAAAGTGGTTCAAAACATCAAATTTCATGCTCAATAATCCAGGTAAAAAAGCCAACAAAGTTCAATCAGATCATCTGGACATTTTCTTTTTCTTTTTGTTGAGTTGTTTCGAACCACTTTGGCTATGGCTGCCTTAGCGGCGTTGACGGGGGAGAGGGTGGCCCCCAGAAACCATCTTATGACCAGAAAACTGGCTGGTCCACTATGTGAGTATGCTGCTTGTGGGACTGAGTTTGTTGTGGCTCCTCAGACTGATGAATTCCTTTGGATGAAGGATGAAATATCTAAAAAAAAAACATCCAGATGACTTGACTGAACTTTGTTGGGTTTCCTTTCAACTATTTTAATAATTCACCTCTTTGACTTAAAAAAACAAACAAACTAACAATCAAATAGATTTTAGTGGTGAGCTCCTCTTTATTCTTTGTAAACACCTAAAATGGCAAAACAGGAAGTTCTTCAGAAGGTTCACGTGCAAACCAACAATAAACTTGACCATGGAAACATCCATCTTCCAAGTCCTGCTAGTTCTTCCCAGATATTCATGTTGAATCAAGCTACCAAGAAACAACTTAATAAACAAATAAATTACTAAAATCTATATGTTATAACGAGCTTTTTTCTTGAATCCTGATGAGACATTGTTTCTGCATATCTCCGTTTCCTGTAGCTTTAGCTTCAGCTTAACATAATCGTTTTCCCAGAGAACTCCCAACCAGCTGTCCAGCTGCCCTTCTGCCAGTTAACATCCCATTTGTCCCTAAAGCACTCCACCCTGTTCCACAGCCGTGTTCGAGCCAACATACAACACATCAGCAAAGCCTGGCAGCCTCGACTCCCTCTTCGTTCACTCTGTCCACTGTCTGTAGCAACTCGTCACCATGACAACGACCTAGAAGAGTTGATCGGTGGAGCAGCAGCAGCAGCAAATTTTTGAAGGCTTGACATTGTTGTGGCGACGCCCGGATCAGAGGAAGTCATGTTGAATTAGATGAGATGTTGTCTTGCAGGTTCCCTGTTTGCATGTTTTTTTTTGTTCATGTTTTTTTCCCACATAAGATCCTCCATAATCCACACTGGTGATTGGATTTGCTGGATGAAAATATTTTACTGAAATCCACAGCTCGTTTGTTGCATTATGGAATTTAAATGGATATCGTTCAAATTTTAATCTGTGATCAGTTCAAAAAAGCAGCTTTAGCTATGCTCCCAGCAACAAATCCTCTGTCTCTCAAACATCTTCAATAAAAGTTCTGTAGCTCATGAGCTCACTCTGAATCTAACCATTTTAACAAAACATAGATTTTTGTTCATATAATAGGAGTCAAAAAGCTGCTTGTGTATAACAACATGCACATTTTCAGGTATTCATCTTAAAAGAAAAACTAATATAGTTGTCATAGTTATCAACAATCTTCCAATTAATATGGGTTTATTTGGCTTGGCAGGCAGCTGCACAGGGTGGTCTATAACAAAACTGTGATCTGTTGTGTGGGAAGTCTCTTCCCAGTAATGAATGAATTACTGGAATGAATGAAACATTGTTCATCTCCTCTGGTTGAAAAGAAAGGGACATAATTTAATAACAGAGAAGTGATGAAGCACTGTTTAACACTGAACATAGAACAGATGCACACTAGGGAGCTTGCCTCTACTTTATATTTGTTTGACAAATTACTATTATTTTTTTACATCACGAGTCATGTCTCTCATCGTTCTTTCCTACAGAGCGACAGGCTTCTGATCAAAGGAGGGAGGATTGTGAATGATGATCAGTCCTTCAATGCTGATATCTACATGGAGGATGGCCTTATTAAGTAAGTCCTCCACGGCCTCTTTTCCTTTATTTTCCCTACTTATCCTCAACTGTTTCTATTCTGTCTGAACTTCCAACCTTCTCTTTTACGTTTTAGTATTTCTACTTGTATAATGCAAATGGCAGCTCCAAAAATGAATATAGCTGTTTTTAATATGTGTAAAATAATTTCAAAATGACAGCGTAATCTGGTCAACATAGCTAAATTTCCTCAATTACTTAAAGTACAGCTCTTTTAAGTATACATTAGTCAAAACAACCTGAATGATTATGTAAAGGAGCTACACTCGTGACTTTTTTGTTGTTATCCGAACAGCCAGTTCAGCCCCCAGTGGTGTCTCCTCCCCACCAGAAGTGACTGAGGATGATTGGAGAATGGCTCCATTATTTTTTTTTTATTTTGTAGATGTTTTGTCCCTGCTGCCCTTTAGTGAGGGAGCTCAGAAGGAGGAACCCATGCAAAGTGTGGTGTTGCATAATAATCACCCTGTTGCCTGCAGCACCATCAAGCTGCTGGCAAACACAGACACTGACTTATGTCGGTCTGGATTGTCTCCTCAATAACGTTTGAACAACAGTAGTTCTCTTTTTCCCTCTTTTTTTTTTATAGTCAACAAATGTTTATGTGTTATCATGGCAACTGTACTGATTTCAACTTAGAGGAATACTGTTTCTCTTTTCAATGCATTACTTCGTCCGAAATATGTTTTTTTTCTTTCTTTTGACAAATTCAAGGCTCGACTAATACCAGTCTTTACTGCAACAACAACAGTTTAACTTTAATCTATCTATCTATCTATCTATCTATCTATCTATCTATCTATCTATCTTAATGGTTATCCAATATCTTATCTTGTCTGTAATCATGCAAATCCAACAACAGTGTATCCCATTTACAGGCAGATAGGTGACAACTTGATTGTTCCCGGTGGAGTTAAGACCGTCGAAGCCAACGGGAAGATGGTGATTCCTGGAGGCATTGACATCCACACTCACTTCCAGATGCCGTACCGTGGAACCACAACCGTGGATGACTTCGCTCAGGGATCAAAGGCTGCCCTCGTTGGTGGCACAACTATGATCGGTAGGAGCTCCAGGCAATGATATCCACACAAGAGACACTGACTCCAGGTGGATCAACACAGAGATTCATCCATCCATTATCTTTACCCGCTTCTTATCCAGCAGTCATGGACAGGTCTCCAGTCCATCACAGGGACACATAAAGACAAACAACCATTCACTCTCTCACTCATAACTAGGAACAGTTTAGAGTTACCAATCAGCCTAACATGCATGTTTTTGGTCTGTGGGAGGAAACCGGAGTACCTGGAGAAAACATACACATGCACAGACAGTATATGCAAACTCCACACTGAAATGTTCCTGAATGGCATTTGATTAGGCGACCTTCTCACTGAGAGGCAACAGCTCTACCAACTGCACCACCGTGCTGCCTCTCATAGAGATGGGCCAAAAAAAGGGGGTTTATTGTGAGTTTGAGGGAAGGCTGGATCCCCAACAGAGGACAAGAGAAAGGAAGGGAATAAACTCCATTTTGGGCTTTTATGGGAAATCCCCCCATATACCCACCCCCAACCAAAAAAATACCACACAAAAGACAGTGTAGGAGGCAAGGGGGGTCAACATGCTCCCATAGAATACATTTTTAGCATTGTGTACATACACACATATACAACATCATATTTTTAATTTATCTTTATTATCTAGGTCCATGTAGCTTAGAGATTATATAACAACAAAGCATTGATGATAAACAACAGTTTAATCAATAACTTCTTTCAGGATCTCTTTGCTGGCTGTTTTCCACTAACAGACATGCTACTGTAGTCAGCTCTATTCATGAGCTTCATTCACAGAGGGATTATGTTCCAGCCGGAGTTGTTTGAGAAGTGGGATTGATGTCTCATTCCATTTATTGTATACAATATATGTAAGTCTTAGAATAATGGCAATAACAAAGTGGTTGAGATGATCAATAGGTAACAGTGATGTTTTGTGGTGTACATGGCTATGAATACTTTTACTTTACTAACATTTGCTTGTGTTTATATCTATATTAGACTGTATCTAGCTGTATCCCATTACCATAAGCAGATCGGGGTGTCTTAAATGAGATAAAGAAGATAGTCAGGTGGTGAACTAGCAGAGCACCTTTGTAAATAATGGCTGAATAAAATAGAGAATCCTTGGTACAGTTGAATAGAGTAACAACCAATCGTCATGAGTATTTTCATTGAAAGCAGACGCAAAGGACTGTAGATATTTAGTTTAAAAGCATGCGCTTTTATAAAATTAAACAAATATTGATGTATATTGCTTGATTCAAAAGCACAGGATCTCACATACCGGTGGACAAATTTAATTGAAAATCCCAGAAAGCAAACACTGAGGATACGTCTCCACCTCACATTTGGCGTCAACCCAGTTCGAAATGGCTGCCACCAACAACAGATATTAAGGAAAACACAAAAGCAGCAACAACTCATCCACTTTTACAGATATTGACCTAAAATTTGCCGTGATAATAGCTAAACGTTATCAACATGATTTGAGCACTGCACATTTCACAGTGTTTTTAATTAAAACTTTGGCATTAACTGTTGGCATCAAACATCTTTCGGTTAGCAAATACCTGTATGTCTCGTGAATTAATGAACAGATTTTAAAGAAACTCTCAGAATGCAATCATCTGGGGTCCATCTATAACCAATACATTTTTAGAGTCAGCCTAAGATGGCCATCTTGGATTAGTCAACATTAGTCAACTCAAAGAGTTACAACTTATAGTCAGTTTTACAGATGAGCTAAGCTTTGGTGTGATAGTAGCTGAGAAAGATCCTCAAAATGCTTTAACCCTTTCCCTTCTCAGCAGAATGATTTTAGCTTAGATCAGTGTCATGCAAGGCAGAGAGTGATATGTATTCCTTCAAAGATTGCTCAACCTTTGTATTAATAATAATATCCCCAAATGCATCATACAAACATCACGCTCTAACTTTTTGAAGGACGTGTTTCACCCCGAAAAACTAAATGCAATGTGACGTCTAACAAAATGTATTCTGGTAGACACAGTCTGATCTTTTCAGCAACCCTGACAGCTGATTATGTAAGATAAACAATACACAGAGAAAGTAGCAAAGCCAGCAGACTGATGTGTCAAATGTGAAAAGTTGGACTGTTTCCACATAACTCTGTCACTTCTTTGTCTGTCTCTTTTTTTTTTATTTGACCTGCCATGACTCCTCTGTCACCAACGCAAACTCCACTCACCCCTCAATCCTCTCTCCTCTGCTGTGCGTCTCCAACAGTGGATCATGTGATCCCGGAGCCTGGCAGCAGCCTGATGGAGGCCTACGACCAGTGGAGGCAGTGGGCTGATGAGAAATCCTGCTGTGATTACTCGCTGCACGTGGACGTTACCCACTGGGATGAGAATGTAAAGCAGGAGGTGGACAATCTGATTAAGGAGAAAGGTAGGCTGTGGGGCCTTCAGTGTTGGCGTGGGGTTACACCCACTAGGGGCGTGGCTTAAAGGGCAAACCCTCCACGAAATAGAACATGCTTGTGATTTACCAAAGTGAACCTTGTAATAAAATTAAACTCAAGGACACAGATAAGTATGACCGACTACATCATTATTAGTTTGCAATATTTCAATGTATAATCTTTGATATATACAAAATTTAATTTCAGACTTCAGCTACTGTTAACTAATTAGCCTGATCTTGTGTTTCCCTATGCAAACATTGTTCTGGCTATTGTTTTGACAGAGGTTATTAAGATCTACCACCATGAACTGCACTTATCAATGGTACACCATCTAGCACTGTTGCTATATGTGGTTCAAGATAGTAGAGATGGAGTTTTTTTATTTTTTTTATTTTTGGTGAGACTGAATGCAAAAGTGTGGAGAAATTTAGTAACACTGTAGGTCAACAAAAGCATTTCAGGCACTTCACTTTGGTAGCCATGACAAAAGATGGATCAGTGCACACAAGCTGGCAGCAAACTGTTTTAACAATAATGGCCTACAAATAGAAGTTTAAAGATAATGTTAATGGGTGTGGGTTAATCATTATTGATCACATTATGATTAAAATATATAATCAGGCTTGATCATGTTTCATCTCTATAATGTGGTGTTTAATGGTGTGTTTTTCCTTTTCAGGCGTGAACTCCTTCCAGGTCTACATGGCCTATAAGGACTACTATCAGATGAGCAATAGTGAGGTATAAGAACTTCAAAACAGTTCACACTTTAGATCTTTTGATGTGGGGTTCTGTAGAAAGGGTTTGAACAAACAATATCTTACCTGTTGAAAGGTAAAACCAAAGTAGACTCATGCCACCATAACGTATCTTTGATCTTAAACCTTGATCTTGATCATTTTAAGGGTTCATGGAAATGCTCTTTTATAAACGTTTACCCCACAATCATATTGCATTACATCGTTATTTCTGTGGAAATCTCACTATATTCCTGCCAAAATGCCCCAGTTTGTGCCATAAGTCTTATAGATAGATGCTGCTGCTAATTTTGCTTGTAAATACCAAAAACAAATGTAAATAACTGTGTAATGTTAAAGATGATAGTGACAGTAATCTGTCTTGGCTCCATTCTGTCTAGTTATTAGCTGATCAGTCTGGTCAGAATTAAGCTCCGTTTCTTCAAACGGAGGTCGTTCAAAGAGCTATCACATCTGTGGGGCGGCTGTGGCTGAGTGGATAGAGCAGTCATCCTCCAATGCAAGAGTTGGGGGTTCTATTCCACCATCAGTCACATGCTGAAGTGCCCCTGGCCATGACACTGAACCCCTCATTGCCTCTGATAGGTGTATGAACGTGATAAAGCACTGATTATTCTTTGTATAGATCTAGTAGAGTGCTGTATGAATGGGTAAATGAGGACAAAGATTGTAGTGTAAAGCACTTTGAGTATCTTGATAAGATAGAACGGTGCTATATAAGTACATTCCATTTATCTTTTACCATTTTCAGTTGCTCATAGCCTTTCCACAGAACCCCACTTCAAAAGATCTTGACTGTCACTTCACGTTTCAACTATTTTTGGCAACATAAATTGCTATAAATATACATTAACATGAATGTAGGTCCTCAGTGGAGCTTTACTTTGACTGTACTACATTTCTAGTCATCTTCAGCAAGGGAAGTGCCTAAAAACAACAAAAAAAAATAATACTGCTTCTAATCGAAAAACTGACTTTTGGTGTTGTAATGTAACATTTCTGTTTTAAGCTTTTCATTACTCTTACATCAAAGAGAAGTGTCTCTTTCCTTCCCTATTAGTTACCATGCAGTCACATATGAGAATCTTTCTTTATGCTTCTTTGGAACGTTTGAAGCAAAATACCTGCAGCATTTTTGTTTATAAATTACATGTGGATGAGTGTTATACCTAACTTGACTTGAGAGTCATAAGGAAATTTGTCTTCAGACAATGTGAGACAAAACTTTTCAGGTTTCTCATGCAGCTGTGGTTAATTTGATTTTTCAAAGAGCGCATGAGAAAGCTAACATAGTCCAGTCTGAAAAACTGATGTCATGCTCCACTCTCAGGAACCGTGGCAACAACTGCAGCTCATCCCATGAGTTTCCTTTCTGGAGACCACACATGGTAATTGCAGTGTGTCATCGTAGACTTCTTGTAAATTGTGGGCTTCTTCTAAATTGTGGCTTATCAGTGACCCAGGATTTAAAAAGTTGTGTCTAATACTTGTCCAAACAGCCTGTCTGGACTTACAAAAATAAAATCCGTACTGCTGTTTTTTTCCCCCCACCTCTCATCATGCAGCTTTATGAGGTCTTTACCTTCCTGGCAGAACGGGGAGGCATTGCTCAGATCCATGCTGAAAACGGCGAGATCATTGCTAAGGTAACTATAAAAGTATTTATTTTATAGCTTGTCCCATGTCCAGTTATGCAATCTGCTTATGTTTTAAGTGATTAAACTGAAATATTGAACTTTAGTTCACACCAGTCGGTGTTTCCAGAACACTCAGGCTAAACATTGTGTCAGTGATGAGGGGGAGACTGTGTTTCCTGTTGGAAAGTGATGTGAGGGTGTATATATGAGATTGTTCTGCGTGTGGACAAATGAAAGAGAATCAGCCAGAACACTTGAAGGATTTAGGCAGCTGCTTTTAGTCAAAACTTCAGACGGTGCCTGGATCCCATCACTGTGTTGGGTCTTTATGAATCCAACTCCAGTCACAAGCTTTGACTTTAAAGGAATCTCACTTACTTCAGCTGTGAAACCACATGTTTGAACCTAAAGAATATGCCACATCCTGGCTTTATTTCCCTTGAGACAAACACTTGTTCTGACCTGTGTGATAAATGCCGTTTTGTGATTAAGTGACGACCATCAAAATTTAATTCAATTCAGTTTACACTGTATATGTAGCGCCAAGTCACATAAGAAGACATCTCAGGGCAATGAATAGAAATATTCATATATTCGGAGCAGACTGCTTTGAATTTAACTCCCATCGCATAACTCAACTTAAGCAAGCATGAAGGCGACAGTGGAAAGGAAAAACTCCCTCGTGAGGAAGAAACCTTTAGCAGAACCAGACTCAGGACAAGCGGTCATCTGCTTCGACCAGCTGGGTTTAAGAGGAACAGATACATAGTAGCAGGTCGAGAATCACATGTTGATAGACATAAAATGAAAACTATTCGATTTTGACAATTCATTTAAGGAAATGAGGTCAATTTGTCCTCCAGTAGTCTAAGCCTATGGCAGCATAATAAGCCAACCCTAACTATAGGGTTTATCAAAAAGGAAAGTCTTAAGCCCAGTCTTAAAATTGGACAATGTGTCAGCCTCATGGACAGAAACTGGAAGTTGGTTCCACAAGAGAGGAGCCTGATAACTGAAAGATCTTACTCCTGTTCTGCTTTGGGAAACTCTAGGAACCGCAAGTAAGCCTGCAGTCTGAGAGCGAAGTGCTCTGTTTGGAAAATATGGAACAATAAGATCTCAAATATAAGATGGAGCTAGGTTATTGAGGGCTTTGTAGGTTAGAAGTAAGATTTTGAATTCTATACGGAATTTGACAATGGGGAGAAGCTAAAACTGGAGAGATATAATCTCTCCTACTAACTCCAGTTGAGACTTTGGCAGCAGCATTTTAGATTAACTGAAGACTTTTTAACGAAGTATTGGGGCACCCAGATAATAAGCCTTTGCTATAGTCCAGTAATTTACCATAAAGCTTGTAGGCACGGTAAAATTAATAATTTGGAAATATTTGCAATTTGCTATTGAACGCGTGTATGTTGGAGCTGATTTTGAACAATGATATTCTGCTATGACATACACATATTCCAGCATGGTTTTAGCCTTTTATTCCCGTAAAGCCGTTCTGACTATGGGTCTCACGAAGTTTATAATCCCACCTCTCACTGGAGCAAAACTGGAAATGGGACAAGCAGCCTGAGGTTTCCTAAATTTTCCAAATCTACAGAGGCACTCAAGTGTGTTCCTTTACCTAGATCCGTTCTTTCCTTTCCCAACTTTGAAAAATGTTATCCAAATCAGAAATTACATTTTTTTCTACTTAAAAAACAATTATTCATCACTGTATTGTTTTGTCTGTAATCTTATTGACATAACAACAAGGTAAAACATAACAAGCATTTATGTGGATCATCAGAAAAAAAACAAAATTGTGATTCAGCATTTGTAAATATTAGAAAATAAATCTTCATAAAAAACATATATTCCAGATAAGGACTTGAATGTTAAATAAATAGAAATATTGACTATAAAAACATAAGTATGAATTAAAAATGTAAAATTAATTTCTTGTAAATTTCACAATTAAATCTTTTTTAATATTACTTTTATATATTTAATGGATTTGTTTTAGTGTTTAAGTTAAGTCATTTAAAATAACTTCTATTTAAGTTTTATTTGTGGCAGTTTTAGCCTTCCACAGTCTATAACTTCTAATTACTACAGAGAGATTGAAACTGTTTAATGCAGCTGTGCATCTTTTAGGCTTAGTTGTTAAATTTTATTACACGTACAGTACTAAACGGGGCTTTTGTGTGATTTAAACTGGGTTCACCGTCTATTCTATTGCCTCGTTTGCCAAAATAAGACGTGCTTTTATTATTGCACGGCTTTTCATATTGTCGGTGCGGCAGTACAGTCATGCAAACGTAATAAGAAAATCTTGATGGTTGAGGAAGACTGTGTTGCAGCATCTTGTTCAAAAGTAACCAAAGGCAATTATGCTGGAATGAAGTGTTTAGGTGCTGACTGTTGTATGGAACAAAGTCCATGTCTATAAATGTTCATCTCCATAAGTTACTGCAAAACAACAATTTGAAAAGACACCTCAAAGGCTTGATGGCTGCCATGTAGAAATGTGTGTGGCCTGACTTCGACAACTAAACCCCTGCTCGTGTATTTCACACAGATAGAAAGCAACAGAAACAGACTTTTATTCTGGAGCGTGACCACGACTTGACATCTGCTCGAACGTTCACGGCACCGAAAACCATGAAAAATATTCCTGCATGCAAAACTGGGGATCTGAGAGCTTCTTTTGTGTGTGCGTGTTTGGGCTACAGGAGCAGATCCGGATGCTGCAGATTGGTATCACTGGACCAGAAGGACATGTGCTGAGTAGACCTGAAGAGGTATGAATCTCACACGCTACATTTATTATTATATAGAAATTAATAGAGTAATAATAAAATTAATACAAAAGTTGGCAGGAAAATAGGCTTTAAATCCTAATTCATTGTTTGGATTAGATATTCTTATCCAGACTGCTTGTTGCACACAGCTGAGACGCACAGTCTTTTCCTTTGGTCTTCACACGCACATTTTGATCTCGTTAGACACATGTGGTTTCAGACACACTGGCGGTCTTGTGTGAATATCGCCCGTTTCCACCAGTTGTCGCCACTGCTGTTTCTTCAACAAACAGCAAAATGAAAACCATACTTTAAACTCAGCAACTTCTCTGCCTTTAGCTTGACGGGGACTTTCCATTCTGTGGAAGAACAAAATGACGCTGCCACGCCAGCACCATCAGGTCATACACTACAGGGGAGTCTCAGGAGCCGAGAGCTTGTTAAACTTAATGTAATTAAACGGAGGCAGAGCAGGTTTATTACTCTTATTTATTTATTTTTTTTAATTGATGTCTGATATTCTGTTTGGATTGGCTTCACCGGTTGTTTGACCCCGACTGAACTTGCTGATGTGAGCACATTTATCAGCTGAAGTGTTAACTCGAAACTTCACAGTACAGAACAACAAAATATATGTAACCCCTTTGTTGAATATTCAAGTTCATGCTCAATAATCCAGGTAAAAAAAATCCAACAAAGTTCAGTCAGGTCATCCGGATGGTTTTTTTTTTTTTAGACATTTTGTCCTTCATCCAAAGGACTTCATCAGTCCTAGGAGCCACAACAAATTCAGTCTCACAAGCAGCACACTCACATAGTGGACCAACCAGTTTGCTGGTGATAAGATGGTATCTGGGGCCCACCCTCTCCCCCGTCGACTCCTCTGAGGCAGCCGTAGGCAAAGTGGTTCAAAACATCAAAGTTCATGCTCATCCAGGTAAAAAAAAATCCAGCAAAGTTCAGTCAGGTCATCTGGATGGTTTCTTGAGATGTTTCATCCTTCATCATGAACTTTGATGTTTTGAACCACTTTGGCTATGGCTGCCTCATTGGAGTTGACGGGGGAGAGAATGGGCCCCAGAAACCATCTTATCACCAGCAAACTGGTTGGTCCAATATGGGAGTGTGCTGCTTGTGGGCCTGAGTTTGTTGTGGCGCCTCAGACTGATGAAGTCTTTTGGATGAAGGACGAAATGTCTCAACAAAAAAATAAACCGTCCAGATGACCTCAGCTTTTTTGAATGCTTTAACTAAAACCCACTTTTTGTTCCTTATGACTGAATTCTAAAAACAAGAAACTGTAGAAATAAACAAAATTTTATAATTTTATTTACAAAAAGACACGCTGAGCTCACATTGTGAACTAAATCTCTCCAATTTTCTGACCTTAACAATATTTTATTTAATCAAATCTGGAAGCATGTGATGCTCATTTGACCTCATTTAAGCTGATTTTAACATTTGTTTGTTGTCTTCGTTAAAGTGCATTTTAACCAAGTTACTTCACCAGCATCAAAACCACAATCTGAAAACATGTGCTTTGTTTTCATTGTGCTTCAAAAATAATGTCTCAAATCAGACAACTACAGAAAAGCAGGATTTCTTCAGGCTTAAGTTATTTCAACTATATTTGACAATGCGAGAAAACAGTTCCACAACAATGTGTTGGCCTTTCTGCAGCTGGAGGCCGAGGCAGTGTTTCGTGCCGTAACCATTGCCAGCCAAACCAACTGTCCTCTCTACGTGACCCGAGTCATGAGCAAGAGCGCTGCTGACATCATCTCACAGGCACGGAAAAAAGGTACCGAGAAGCGTTTTGAAGTTAGACGACATCTCTACTCGCTAGACTTTTATCTAAACGCTCTTTTTTAAACTGGCATGATCACCCTGTCTTGTGACACTTCTGGTATTTAAGTGAAGTTATGTACCATATGATGCTTATATTGTTTTTTTTTCTTCATTATTTTGACTGCATTTAATATTTTCATTTTATTGTAATGTGTCCTTGAGTGCCACAAAAGATGCCTTCAGATAAAATGTATTCTTCTTCTACTTCTTTTTCGGAACCAGACTTATTGCGTCCCCAGCAGGTCCATGGTAGATACTATCTGCCCGATTCAAGATGTTTTGGAAGCCTCCAGTTCACTGGGTCTGAACACAGCGCTGGTCTCACTTGACCAAGAAAAGGCTTTCAACCGCATTGAGCACAGCTTCCTCTGGGAAACCATGGAGGGGTTCGGTTTCAGCACTAGTGTCATAGCCAAAATCCAGGTGTTGTACAGTAACATTGAGGGTGTGCTGAAGTGCTCCTTTTAGGGTGTGTAGGGGTGTTCGGCAGGGCTGTGCACTCTCGGGAATGCTCTATGTGCTTTCCCTGGAACCTCTCCTTCAGAAGATCCGTTCGAGTATCCATGGTTTTGTTTTACCTGGTTTTAATAGTCGTATAGTTTTATCCGCCTACGCTGACGACGTTGATGTTTTTATAAAAAAAAAAACAAGATGTCGACACACTGAACAAGGTCACAGAGTTTTTCCACCCCGTCTGCTGCAAGGGTGAACTGGGGAAAGAGCACAGCCCTCGCCATAGGTGAGTGGCCTGAATGGCTCCCAGTTCTCCCTCAAAACCTCCTGTGGAAGAGGGATGGTCTTAAATATTTTGGTGTCTATGTAGGGAATAAGGCTGTAGTACAGAAATACTGGGAAAATGTGCAACAGAAGGTCAAGAATAAATTAGAAAAATGGAAATGGCTGCACTCTAAAATGTCCTACAGAGGCAGAGTACTAGTGTTTAATAACCTAGTTGCATCACAACTGTGGCACAAACTATCAGTTTTAGACCCACCTCCAGGCCTGTTAGTAAAAAATACAGTCTGAGATGGTAGATTTTTTTGGGAACGGCCAACATTGGGTGCCACAGTGTGTGGGACGACAAGCTCGGAGGTCAGAAGCCGCAGTGGAGGACTCTTTACAAACCTCCAACAAAAAAAAAAAACGGACTGGTGATCTTCAATGGAGGATCCTTCATGGTGCCATTGCAACAAACTGTTTTTTGTCGGTCATCAATCCTGAGGTTTAAAACGAGTGTCCTTTTTGCAGTTTATCTGAGAGTGTTTTTCATGTTTTTACAGGCTGTGTACAACTGACGGCTCTGTTTAATCTAATGATGAGGATCTTTAACCGTTTTGACAGTTTTCACCAAATCTGTTTTTATTAATGGAGTACATGACAGCAGAGCCACTAAGTTTAAATCCCAAACTTTAAAACTTTTTAGTGGCCGAAGCAAAAATATCTATTTACTTGTCTCGCTGGGACAGACTGCAGGCTGGACCTCAACTTGATGCCGCGGCTCTGTGGAAGTGCAACGTCAAGGCCAGACTGGTGTTGGAGTTTTGCTTCCACAGAGACACTGGACACCTGGAGAATTTTGTGAAACTGGAAATTTAAGAAGGTTTTATGCACCTTTTCTGATCAGGATGAGCTACAATACAACAAGCTCCTCATGTAAATATATTTTAAGCTTGTCCTGATCAAATTTTTTAACACTGTTGTGTTAACTTTTTGTGTAAATAAAGTTTTGTTAAAAATCAAAGCATTCTTCATCTTCTTCATCATCTCTTCATAATTTTTATCTTCTACATCATTTTCATCATTATCTTCATCATCATCTTCATCATCATCATCACCTTCATCTTCTTCTTCTTAATCATCTTTTTTCTTATTATCTTATTATTATTATTATTATTATGCCTAGCTCATCTGAGCACCCATTAGATGATAAAGAAGTACTTTTAGCTGTGACTACGTGCACACTGCACCTACTGTGCAACTGCAGCATGATTCTACCTTTTGAAAGTTGTAAGTCTCAATAAATGACCAAAATATTGTATATCTTTGAAAAGATTTAAATTAAATATGCACGTCTTAATTTTAAAGAACGTTTGCTTCAGCTTTTGTTTCCTAATTTGAGTTGAACAGTTTTTGAAAATCCAGTTTTACTTTTGTGTTAGAATAGAAATTCCTATTTGCAGTCATGTACAGTAGTTAATCATTTCTTTAATAACTATTAAAAAGTGATGCAACGAATGCAAACTAAATGTTTGCATGTGGAAATTCTACAAGACGACGACGTTAGTTTGGACCGCAGGGATAACACAGATGTACAATGACTCAAGCTCTGCTTGACATAATGGGAAAAAAAAAAAAGACTCTTTTGTTAGGATCATCTGGGTTTTAGGTCTTTTTTTTTGTGGCTCAGTTTAATTCAATTCAGTTTATTTATAAAGTGCCAAGTCACAAGAAAAGTCATCTCAGGCCACTTTACAAACAAGTAATCAGGTTCAATTTAAATCCAGTTGTACGTGATTGAGTTTTCTTCTCTTAACATCAAAAACATATGTGGACTTCCAGAACATGATGGATTGTGAAATACCCTTTTATTTTTTTGAAGTTGAAAATAAGAAAATAGACAACGTAGAAAAGAACAGTGTTTGCTTACTTTAGTGGTTTTGACAGACGGTGCACATTTTCTTGTTTCTGCATTTTTTTAGAGGCCACTAAATACATAAGTACAAGAACGTATGTTATTATAAGGTACTAACTCAAATTTATCATTTATATAATGACGTTTTCATCCACAGCTATGTAAAAAATATAATGTGCAACATTACTATCCACCATGCATGATTATTACTATCCACTCACATGAAATCCCAAATATTTGTGTGCTTACAATGTTTAGAATTTATCCAATTTAAATCATGATTCCAAAGCATCTTAAAAATATTCCCGTTTACTGTATTTTTTTAAGGAAATGTAGTGTTTGGGGAGCCAATCACAGCCAGCCTGGGGACTGATGGGACACATTACTGGAGCAAGAACTGGGCCAAAGCTGCTTCTTTTGTTACGTCACCTCCTCTTAGTCCAGATCCCACCACTCCGGACTATCTGAACACACTGCTGGCAAGGTGAGCGCCACTGTGACTCCCTCTGGTTTGGGTGTTGACCTGTTTTCTTTTCTGTACTTTTTAAAATCACATTGTGTCCCAGTATGAGCTGAAAGGCCACTGAGTGGAAAGGAAGCCATTACAATGATTCAAGGTTCTTTATTTGTCATTCGCACCCCATGTGTTACATGTGATGGAATGAAATTGTGTACACAGAGTCCCAGTTATCCGAATACAACGTGAAAATCTAGATGACAATTTGCAAATGCACACAAGGACAAAGAAAACTGAACAATTTGGAGATAAGGACCATCGTTAAATTTGGAGGAAAAAAGGGGGAGCTTGTACTTCAACAGCTGTGAAGTATGAGGGTGGTAGTATCATGCTGTGGTGGTGCTTTGCTTCATGAGGAATAGGATGTGTAATGTGTATAGTCATCCATGTGTGCTCCTATACAATGAGCCAATTTGCCCTCTTCATTTAAGCCAACACACAGCTGTTTAAGCAGCCTTTGGCACATCTGCGAATAGATGTCTTGCTCAAAGACAAAACTTGTGGCTCTAGATTCCAAGTTGGCTGCCTTACCACACCGATAGGAACTGGTGCACTTTACAAAATAGATGGCGTCACAAGGAAAGAACAGGAAAGGTTTAGTTAATGTCAGACAGTGAGAAAAAACATGGTTATGTGTCTTTTTCTTCAGTGTACGCAAACAGCTGTTAACAGCTGTCCATATAAAAGAAGCAAAGTAGGCCTTAGGCTACGTTCACACTGCAGGCAAAAGCTGCCCAAATCTGATGGTTGTTGCCTCTATGCGACTCGTATCAGATGTTTTGAATGAGACACATTTGACTTTTTCAAATCTGACCCTTTTTCATACGTGGTACCAAATCAGATACGTATTGGTTTTCAAAGCGATCGCCATCTGAAAGGTCACGTCGCATTTCATCTGACTGTTATGTCAGTGCAGTCGGGGTAAGCAGATAATCTGCGTATTGATAATAACGATGCCAACCTCATGCAGTTCAAAGCTTGGAACTCAGCATGTCATCAGCTGCAGAGCAGAAGTCTTGTTGCTATGTCTGGTTGCTTTACTTTGCCGTGTCTGGCTGTATTGACACTAATGTGGTGGGACCAGTACTTGAGTTTGTTTCTACCTTCATTATGTAACTCCTGTTCCAAAAATATGATACTGTGCTGAAATAACTAGAGGTGGCCCCCATAAACCATCTTATCACAAGCAATGTTTTTTTTTTTTTTTTCCCACTATGGAAGTGTGTGCTTATGGGACTCCAGTTTGCTTGTGGCTCCTCGGACTGAATAAGTCCTTTGGATGAAGGATGAAATGTCTCAGCAAAACAAAACAGGTTTGGTGTTTTGAACCATTTTGGCATGTCTGACTCAGAGAAGTTGACAGGGGAGAGGAAGTGCCCCAGAAACCATCTTATCACCAGCAAACTGTTTTTCTTTTTTCAATATGGGAGTGTGGTGCCTGTGGTACTGCAGTTTGTTTGTGGCTCCGCAGACCGAAGAAGTCCTTTGGATGAAAGATGAAACGTCTCAGAAAAAAGAAAAAAAAAAGAAACCAACCAGATGACCTGACTGAACATTGTTGGATTCTGCTTGTTGCTTAAACACACTTTCATGTGTTTTAATAGGTCTCCTTGTGTACCAAGAGTTTGTTTTGCTGATTTAATTTCATCATCATGTTTCCCCTCCTCCCAGTGGAGACCTGAGTGTGACTGGCAGCGCTCACTGCACCTTCAGCGTGGCCCAGAAGGCCATTGGCAAAGATGACTTCACCCAGATCCCAGAAGGTGTCAATGGAGTGGAGGAGAGGATGACACTCATTTGGGATAAAGCTGTGGTGAGGAACAGTTAGGGTTCTTTTTTTAACCCATTTGCTGCCTTTCAGTCAAAATGACCATCAAAGCCTCAGTTTTAAAAGTGAGGCCTCGTGGGTCATTTTGACCCAAGAGCAGCAGGAGGGATGCATTTTGGAGAAAGTACATCCAAACTAGGCACCTAAATGAAAACACAGGCATAAAATGGTTTATTGCATTTGTTTTTACTGAGCATTTTTCGCTCTTTACCCTGTTCTTCATCATAAATCTTTCATCCGGAATCTTTGTTCTGACATTTTCATTCTCCTCAGGACCGCTTTCTTCAGTCAGATTTACATCTCTGTCTTTTTATGGTCTTTGTTTTTACAATAAAGTCCGTTCTCCGTGTGAATTATCCGTTTCAAACTTTTTCCTCTTTACCTCAGCTTTCCCTCAGTTTCTTGTTGTCACATTTTAAGATTTCTTTTTATTTTTATTATTATCTCTACAATTATATGGTCCTTTATGTTGCAGTAATCACTCCCTTTTCTTCTGCAATTTCTCATCGTCAGTAAATCAGTACTTGACTTTCTGTGGTTGTCTCTACAATCGGAGTGACTTTTCCAGAGGACCAAGCATCTAAATTGCTTCAAACAGGACTAACAGCTGGATCCTTTAAAGCCGTTTCTCTGCACCCACAGAAAGTTTCATCCAAGATAAATTGGCGATATTCTAATTTGCACACATCACCCTCAATTTTCTATCTGATTTCAAGTCATTTATAAATCAACTCATTGGAGGAACTGAAACATTCCATGTGTTTATTTTTGCCTGCAGCCAAAAACATGAAGGTGAATAATAATGTTTTCACCTGTGTTTGTGTGTGTCTGTTAGCAACAAATCGTACGAATCACTGAATGAAAGTTAATGAAACTTTCAAAAAGTAATTATTAGATGTGCACCTACAATTGATAACCGTTTGGAGTCAACTCGATTCAAGATGACCGCCTCAGTCAAATGACTATAAAATACACAAAAATGACTATGAGTCAGTTGATTTTACAGATATTGACGTACAATTTGATAAAGTCGTAGCTGAGACTGATCAACAAATGCCCTGAGTGCTAACAGATCTGAGCAGATTTCAGGAAATAATAATTTATTGTACCTTACATCTGATTCACTTTTGGCTTCAACTTGAATAAATATGGCTGCCACAGAAAAGCAAGAACAAAAACAGATATTTTCAGTCCGTTTTTCAGATTTGGAGCTAGTATTTGTTGTGGGAGTCATTTGTTGAATTGACTGTAATGACTAACTTTTTTCTTTATTCAGAAAAATACTGTTTTAGTCTGAAACTGGCAGAAAAGTCGGCTTCCTTCAAGGAAATCTACAACTTTAAAATATCCTGATTTTAGATTTTTAGATTTTTGAGAAAACATAAAAATTGTGTTAGGAAAGCTTGAAGTTTAACATATTTGCCTTTTTTTTTTTTTTTGCCATTTGCTTTTTAACCCACTTCATGTTTGTGTGTGCTAGTTCTTGCACTTTGCACATCTTTTCCTATTTCTCCCTTTGTTTAGAAATAACTTTAATCCTTTTTGTTCGTTTTCTCACTCAGACCACAGGTAAAATGGACGAGAACATGTTTGTGGCCGTCACCAGCACTAACGCAGCTAAAATCCTGAACCTGTACCCTCGGAAAGGCCGGATTGCCGTGGGCTCTGATGCCGACCTGGTCATCTGGGACACAGATGCTGTTTGCACCATCACTGCCAAGACTCACAACTCGGTGTGTTTACAAGTCAATGCTCGTGTTTGTATTTGTGCCAGAGTCCAGTTAATCTTTATTCTACCTCCTGGATTCTCTTCCCATATTATTGTGTGAATGTTTATGAAGCATTCACTGTGATCCATTTTTCTTCTACACATTTTTCCGTGCAGTTCTCATCCTGCAGTTTTCAAGCTGTTTCAACATAAATGTTCAGCTCTTTCAGGACAATCCTGTTATGACTTTTGGTATTGGTGCAACTTTAGCTGTTTGAAATATTTAGCCTTTTATGCCATTTTTTCCTCATAGAAAATTAATTGAGCTAATTTTTAGATCTGTTTACAACCTTTTATTGCTCCTTTCACATTTTGTTCTGCTTCAATTCTTTCAGCTTCCTTGTGCAAATTTAAACAATTTTCCAGCTACTTTCAGCAGTTTTTAGATAATTTCCACTTGTTTGCTCATGTTTACTTCTTTCAGCACAATTAACTTATTTCTACTAATTTCAGCTTATTTCTGCTAGTTTCAGTTATTTCAGCTACTATTTAGCTGCTTTATGCTAATTTTTGTCTTTTCAGTTAATTCTACATTTTGGGCACTCATTTTAACATTTTTCAGCCTAATTAAAAAAAAAGTGATCTCTCCACTTCATACTGGTAATTTGTTAATTTCTGCTTTTTATTAGCTACTTTTCAGCTGTTTTTTGTTGTTGTTGCTAATTTCAGCTTCTTTCAAATAATTTCCACTTTTTTGTATTCATTTCTGCTTCTTTCAGCAAAAATGTGTTCTTTCAGCTTTCTTCTGCTAATTTAAGCTTGTTCTACCTTTTCAGCAATTTTTTTGTTGCATTTTTAGCTAATTTCAGTTGTTTTGATTATTTTTTTCGTGGTGATTTCTGCTAATTTCAGCCTAATTAACTTTCTGCTAATTTCAGCTTGTTATGCTCCTTTTAGCTTTATCTGCTATTTCAGCTACTTTTTAGCCGTTTTGTGCTAAATTTTACTTTTTCAGCTAATTCCACATTTTATTAGCTCATTTCAACTCTTTCCAATTCCTTCTGGTAGTTTAAGCTTCTTTGCCTTTTCAGCTACTTTTCAGCTGTTTTTTGATTATTTCAGCTATTTTAACTAATGTCCTAATTTTTGTGCTCATTACTGCTCATTTAAACCCAATTCAGCAAATATTTGTTCATTCTGCTTGCTAATGCTAACTTAGGCTTGTTCTTCCATTTCAGCTACGTCAGCAGGTTTGAGCTAATTTCAGCTGTTTTTTTCAGCAAGTTCTTCAGCAATAAGCATTCACACTGCATTTTTTCCAGGAAATTCAATTTCTCTAGTTTTTCCTTTCCCTCTCCATCTTTGTTGCCTCTTTTAAGAAGTAAATGTGCTTCTTTTGAATGCTCCACATTTAAATTAGTGAACTTATGTCAGTTATAACTGAATATCTGTGAAATAACGACTCAAATAGAAAATATATGAGGATATAGATGATTGTTTTTGGAGAGGTGAGTTCAGTGATCAACGACTGTGATAGATACTTTGAATTCTACATCTGTCTGTGCAAGACTTACAGTGAGGGAGCACATTTTTGAACCGCTTCCAGAAAGCTCTTAGTTCCTCTCAACGGAAATGAACTCTCAGTGGACATTCGCGACTAATTCCACTCACGCTGCTCTCATCACATGACCCAAAGCAATCCAAAACCGCTCAGCCAGGGTAAAGCTTTTTTTTTTATTTTTTTTTTTTTATAAAGGTTGACTTATTCAAATAGATTTTCCAAAATACTTTTTGTGGTTAAACCAGAGCAAATCAGCTGTATTTGTGTGTGCTGTATAATCAAAGAATGGAAAAAGTGGATTCAAAGCAAACCATTTATTGCAGCGATTTGTCATTGTTAATTATAACATTTGAATGCACATCGACAAAAAAAAAAATATATTTTTTACAACTATATAAACGATTTTGGTTAGTTTTGGATGGGGTGGGGATCTTCTCAAAAGCAGAACATATCTCACTACATAGTGTAATCAGAGTCACAAGGTGGTGTCTACTTTACCATGTTTTTCGGACTATAAGGTGCATTAAGTGAAATTAAAACATTGACAGATTTGAGTACCGTACCACATAAAATTGGTAGGTATCTATCTATCTATCTATCTATCTATGATTTATTGTTTCCTAAAATAATAATCTTCTTAAACTGAGGTAGTTTTAGATGCCATTGTGTATCCAAATGTAACATCACAACTACATTAAAGGCATGCAATACTTATCCCATCACAGATGTGTTTTTGTTCTAGCTGCTAATGTTTCTGGACCTCTAGCATCTTGCACGCACATCTTCCTTCACACATGCCTGCTGTCAGTCCACCTGGTATGTGTTAGGCAATAAGGTTTGTGTTGCTGCACAGACAGAGGATAGCATACTGGCAGCTCAGCTGTGCAGGAAATTAAGGCTTTGGCAGCCTGGGACAAATCCTGCTTCTCCTGAAAAAAAAACACAAATGAGGGGAAAACTACATTTAGAAGAAACATATTGTTTCATGTAGAGTTTAAGTTGAGAAGTGGACCTTTTAGATTTTTAGTTGTCGGGTTGTTTTGTTGCTGTGAAAACTGGACTAATAATAAACTTTCTGTAACTGTACGTTCATAGGTTCTTACATAATTATGTCACCCTTTTATTTCCTGCTCGCTATCTTGCCAGAAAAATATACATAAAAGAAAAAAGTACTGCACAAGAGCACAGCAACTCCCAGTGTTAAAAATCCTCAATACCCAGAAGACCAAACCTGAATGACCCGAGCTGTGTTAGCTAAATACCTTCCTCGGGCTTTGCTGCTTGGACACAACTTGTTGTCAACATAACAGCTCATGAATGCAGAAAGAAAAAAGAAACGCAGACAAGAACAGGGAGCAACTCCAACGCACACCGAAACACACACACGGCTCGGTCGTGACATCATGTTTGGCATGCTGTAAGTCTTAGTTATGTCCTGTTCTGGCCTGAATTTGGACGGCAGCAGAAGACGGGGCCGTGTGCAGAGGAAATAAGTAACAATGGAACAAGGGGCGGGGCCTGTCAGAGATCCCAAACATGCTGAGGATAGAAAAACTGGAGGATGGTGGAAAATGCTTGATTTAAAAAATAAAAAAAAAAACATGTCAAGGAACAGATAAATCAATATGAAAAAGTAAGAAGGAAGATTGTTTAGTACCATTAAAAACAAGCATATAACCCAGAAAGAGCGATGCGAAGGGAATTAGGAAGGACTAGATGTCGAGCCAAGTGAGAAAGGGAAACACCGTGAAGATCTTCCAAGGTGCCAGCTGGATGATGGCAGCTGTTTCTTTAGGCCAAACAGACAAAACAAGGTGATGAATGAGGACGACATGGGAGGATTTTCTAGAACGATTCAAAACCACATGGAAAATACCCTGAAATGATCAATAATTACGATTAACATATTTATCTTTTCTTGTGTGTGTTTTAGGCTGCTGAATACAATGTGTTTGAGGGCATGGAGCTGCGTGGTGCCCCCCTGGTGGTGATATGTCAGGGGAAGATCGTTCTGGAAGACGGAAACCTTCATATCACCTCTGGAGTGGGACGCTTCATTCCCTGCCCTCCCTTCCCTGACTTTGCATACAAGCGCATTAAAGCCAGGAAGCAGGTAAAAAAAAAAAAAAAAGAAGTGTTTATGTGCTTTTGTTTTGCAGCCATCACTTAGAAGGAGAAGCTACAGTAGATCAGTGGTCAGTGCCATCGTCTCATAATCATGAGGCTGCAGGTTTGAGCCCAGGTTGCATCATGAAGGGATTTTGTGTAAAATGATCGCCAAATATTTTATGCAAGTTTGCTTGCTGCAACCAAAATAACATCTTAACAGTGCTGGATTTTAAGTTTTTATGGTCTGCTGGTAAAACACTGGAACAATACTGATGTAAAAACAAATACATAATACCGTAGTAACAGTTTGTCTGATAGATTATAGCTACTACAATATTTAGGTCTTTTTTCCTGATAATTTCATCATTATAAAAAGTCACAGATTAGCTTTAAGTTCTTTATCACACTGTGTTTGAATGAGCACCAATGTATACAAGTCAGTGTATTAAAGTTAATCTTCATAACAACTTTTCCGTACGAAAAAAATATATTTGTGCTAAAATATTTAAATAAATAATTGTTTCTAAGGATTGGTTAGTCAATACAAACCTTTTACGATCTAACAGGGAAAAAAAATAAATAAATATAAATACATTTGAATAAATATTGTCAGTTTTAGTGCAAGGTGAGTGTTACACAGCAAAGCCAACACAATGTAAATTGCTCATGCTTTTTCTTAATTGCTAATAGCTGTTGCACATTAAAAAAAAAATAATAATAATAATAATAAAGAAATTCACAACTGCTATTCACAAAATGCTCATGCTGGATATGCATTACCAAAATAATATTTTGGTGACCTTATAACTAATGCATTTCATAAATGAACATTCGTGGGAAAGAAGAAAGAGTAGTTGGTGCACAGACATCCTCTTGGTATTTATGCACTGAAATCAGAATCATATCCATGATTCAAAACTTAATTTGATGCTACACTGTGGAAAGAAAATATATATTTTTTGGACTGGACACACACAAGTGGAGTGCAAGTAAAATATAGTTGACAGTTTAGCCACATTGAACTTGTACAATAAAATAATTGCTGATATTTTGATTGTGGTTTTTAAGTCCTTTTTGGAGAGAGATTTCAGACATGGGTATAGCATTAAAATACAATTAAAATATAAAACATTTGTTCATCTTCAAACAAATTTTATTCCAAAATCTATATTGAACTGATGTGTTTATCACGGGAAAGCCAACGAGGATGTGACATATTTAAAAAGGGACTTTCCTGGACAATAGCTGGCTTGGCAGCCGGTCAATAACTGCAAGGCTCCAGGAAGTTACAACGACTGCTTCATATTTAATGTGCAGACGTGAACTGTTCACTTCTGCTGCCATTTTTGGCAAATAACCAGAACGTACTACAAAGCACATTTGTTTTTGTACTAGAATGTAACTAATAGCTTTGATTCAAAAGTGTCAAACACAAAAAAATAGATTAAATGTGTAAGGACAAAATCCAGAAAGCTCCAGAAAGCACTAACACCATCAAAATGTACATGTCGAGTTCTTATAAACACCAAATGTCAGAATATAAGAACTGTTTTCCATTGTTTTAATGACCCTTTAGCTTTCCCATTTCCAAACCATTCATTCTCACGTGTTTCCTAATTTCTATCTGGCTGCTGATGAGAAGGAGCTGAACTAACCGTGCTCTGTGTATCTTGGTAGCGGTTACTGTTTGCTTCCTTCATTCACAGATGTCTCGTTTTAACTCCTGACTGTTCTTCCAAGACTCGGCTGAGTCACAGCGCTAACAGACGGAAAGATTAAGGCTTGTCGACGAGCAGCATGAAGCGTCACGTCGATGCAGACACTTTATTTTACGCTTCTTCTCTTTAGGCATCTGGAAGGGTTTAAAACGTGTATGACTATGAGTTTGTGCATTTCCAAAGTTGTTGTTTTTATAAAATGCAACAGTTTGAGTCTAACTCGGTGCCTCCGTCTCTGTTCTTCCTGTTTGTTCTGCAGTTGGCGGTTCTGAGGGCAGTGCCCAGAGGAATGTACGACGGTCCGGTGTCTGAATTCTCCATGTCCCGTGGGGGTACCCCCTCTGCCTCGGCACGCACTTCTCCCACCAAGCAGCCTCTCAGAAATCTGCACCAGTCTGGATTTAGTTTAGCAGGTAACCCCGTAGCACCCGGTGAGCCCAACTTCTTAATAGAACAACCATCTCTGTATCACCCCGTCTTTTCTTTTTGAATTACAGTCTTCATTGATTGGCATTGTCTGTGTTGATATCAAAAAAAGGCTGTGTGCTACTGAGATGTTCCAAAATCTCACTCCTTGTTTTCTACGATTGATTCTTATATGCATCTTGGCTGTCGGTTTAGTTGGACCCAAGGTGCAAACAGAGCTTAAAGCTTAAAGTATAAACAAATTACTTATTTAAATAAAAACTAACAATGATGTGGCTGCAAAACTTACATTTCCTGGGAAACACGGAGGGAGGACAGACCACGACGCCATCCAGGACAATCCATGGCCAGGGGAACAATAAAGAAACGCAGAATAGATAGACACACTAACGAGGGGATAAACACAAACACCTGGGGAAGGACAACAGGTGGCAGAGGCAGCTGATCACACGAGGGAGAAACACTGAGGTGGGCAGGACAGGTGACACAAGGATCACAAAACACACACAGATCCTCTCAATATGATAGTAAGACAAATGATACACGTCAATTATTCAAACAAAATAAAATGATTTATAAGTCAAAACTGACTTTTGATAGCGCAGTGAGAGTTTTTCTGCTTGGTTCAAGTCATTCAGCGTGACTATTTACCCCTTAATGAATTATTTATTTCCTTTTAAAAGTGGTCAGCATGTTTGTATCTCCATCAGCAAGTGACTGCAGTTGGATTAATTTGAGAATGATGTGAATCCTGTGCTGTGGTACCTGCTGGCATCAGATAACTGACTACCCCAGCTCCAATTTTTGGGTCATCATTTTGTTTGTGTTCCACCAAAATATTAAAGCTTTTTTTTAATATTGGGTAATTTATCTGTGGCAGATGGTAAAAGATGTGTAGAACCAATCTCAGCATTCAGTTGAGAATTTTTATTAACCGCTAATGACTAGGCCTGTCACGATAACAAATTTTGCTGGGCGATTGTCTCAGAAATTATTGCGATAAATGATAATAATGTTTGAAATTTGACAATAATTAGTAATTGTCAAATTTAAGAAGAAACGTTGATTTGTTTTGCGTGTAGTACTTTTTATCGACCACTGGATGGCAGTATAAGATTGTTTGAACCCAGGATGGATAGTGCGGGAGCAGCAGCGTGTCTCTTTAAGAAAAATGGGAGGGAGGCCCCTTGACATGACATGGGCTGTCTCTTTTCGGTTCTCAAAATGGTGGATGCTCGGTTTAGTTTGAGCTCTTTAGCATAGCATTTTTCACACAAAGCTTTTAATAAAAACATAATGAACAAGTTCTCCGCTTCTTTTTGTAGAGAAAAACAACTTTTTACATGAAGGCACGGGTTTCAACCGTGAATTTTGGAGCTTCGACAAGACGGAGGTTTTTTCCCCCGAGGTTGGCCTGTTAGCTTAGCTTGTTGCTTAGCTTCTCAGCTTAGCTGCTTTTAATGATCCAAAAACGCAAGTTTGGATGGTTAAAACAAATTTTAAAGAGAAAAGGAGAGGTCAGTGAAGAGCACCAGAGTTGAGCCTTTTGTCATCCAGTGTCTTCAGAAGAAAGAGAGAGACACGAAAATGATAAAGCCGATAAATGAAAATGAGGTTGATAATTTTCATTTATCATGCGATTAATTGATTTATTGTTTATCGCGACAGGCCTACTAATGACTCTACTCAGGAAATTCTATGTTGCTTTTCATTTAATTTAGTACCTGCATATAAATGCAGGTAGTGAATTAAAAGAAAGGCAAATACTTCTAAATATTTTGAAGTATTTATTTTGTACTTCTAAATAGAGATACTTGACTCATATAAAAAGTACTAGCCAAGAATATTAGGCTAACCCATAAAGAATGGATGAGTGTCTCCAACCTGTTTAAACACTCATTGGACATGAAGTGTAAATAGAAAATGTATTTCTTTTCTATTTAAAAGCTTCTGTTTGATATCTTTATACTGGTAAAATAAAATATCATCTTCAAAGCGTCATCTCTAAACTCCCCCCTTCGCCTATGCAGATTTACAACTTTTACAAAACACTTTTGATGTATGTTTAGGACACTTTGACCTCCAATTAAAGCCTCTTCCTTGGATTAATCCACCATAAAGTAATGTTTTCCTGACTTGTGCACTCGTTTGAAATCATGCTGGATTCACTCAAGGCCTGAAACATACACCGCTTTTCATTCAAGCTTTTGGACACGGTCTGATAACAGGGCCTAGCTAATGTGAGAGATAATATTAGATTTGTTAGACATCGGTTCCATTATGAAGATTTGCAGAATGATATCCTGACTGTACCCATTTGTTGGGTCAGCAAATAATTACCTTAGATTCAGAAAACTAACGTTAGAAGTTATAAGTTTTCTAATATCCATGGCTGATTAGTCACTTTGAGAGCAACAAATATTTGGGTTTTGGCAGTATAGAGTCACTCGTCTTTAAAAGTTGCTTATTTATGATGTCATATTGAAGAAAAAAAAAAAAGACCTTTTTTGGAAATAATTTCCAAACTTGAACCTTTGAAGCAGAGTGAGGCCGCTCCTGGTTTCCCAGGATAGCAGTTATATTTGTGCTCCTACTCACTGAATGACCCTGACTCCCTTCTATTTTAGTTTATATAGGAATACCACCTGCAGAGTTGATTTACTTGTCTGGAAAAAGAAGGGAGCACTGTTGGATTAGACACAGTGAATCACAGACTGACATCATCTACTTTCCATGTATGTTCTCACTGATCATTTGTTTGAGCAGACATCCTGGCTGATTCTTTGGAAACTATTCTCTAAGGGAATTCATCTTTTGATAATGTAGCAACAGCCACTACTATACATCATAGATGATGTTATCAATGAAGAAAAGTTCTAGCAAAGTAATACAAATTGTACACTAGCTCTGGATCACGGAGGAGCTAGTGCCTATCACGAGCAGTCAGACAGAGTCAGAGTCAGATTTTCTTTGTCATTCGCACCACATGTGGTACATGTGGTGGAACGAAATTTTGTACACAGGGTCCCAGTTACATCCAACAATAAAATGTAAAAGATAAACAATAATAAGATTTAAGATATGAACTAAGAAAAACATTAACTAAAAATACGCTAAGCACTAATAACATAAAAACAATACGCTGAACAGCAGCACGAACATGAGTCTGTGTGAGCAGATGAAATAGATCAGCAGCAACATGATGTGATTTTTCACAGTGATTTTTCCTGGTTAAATATTCATGAGTCTAACAACCTCAGGGTAGAAGCTGTTCCTCAGTCTAGTGGTTCTACACTTAATGCTCCTTAACCTCCTTCCTGAGGGGAGCGGAGCAAAAAGTGTGTGTGCTGGGTGAGTGGGGTCATTCATGATGCAGGTGGCCCTGAGCAGTCACGTGCAAGAAGTGGAGTCTTACCTGGTTTTTGACACTGTTAAATGCTGTATTCTTCCGCCTTATTTGACTATTAACAGCAACATGGTGGTAATGTAAGTTTCACTGGGCCCGGTGAATAAAAATGATCACAGCATAGCTACATTCTAAATTACTATATTTGTCAAAACCTACATGATCTGTAAACGGAACACTCAAGAAACAGTTGACTTAGTGTGGGGAAATAGTCAGCAGTCATTACATTTGTAACTTGGATGATTGGCATTAATAAAAACTTTATCAAATATGTTTAAAAGTTATTGGATACTGACAGTATTCTTACAGATGATTGCTTCAGCCTTTGCTAAATGATTAATTACAAGACCCTGTTCTGAAATGTTATTGAAAAGCCCAACATGCATAACGGTATAGAATTTTATGATTTCCCAATATTTATACAAAGGAGTATCTGCGTGCATAAAATTCCTTAATCATATAAAAATATTTTTCTCTTCAGTTAGAACTGACAAGACATTTAACACAGAATCAGGGTTTTGCAACTGATGAAAGCCATATTTGTACTTGATTAGCCTGGTATCGTAGTTGTTTTCTGCTCCTGGCAAATGACTGTAATTCTCTTGGAGTGTTGAACCGTATAGGCCTTACATGTATTATCTCTTAAAATGATCTCTGTTAGCTTTATAAGAAATTTATTTGTTAGTAAGGCAACCACTTCCTTCTGCAACAACTTTGACAGAAAATAAATCTGAGACAAACATTTGACTCATTTGTCATTTCGTTTCTTTCAACATCAATCAAACATATTGTCTCTTTTTTATTTTTCTGCATTTCATTTTCTCTTTCAGTGCTTTTTTTGTTGTTGTTCTAACATTGTCCCTTTTTGCTCTCTTTAGGACCCCCAACTCCAGATGACGTCCCCATCAGGCCTGCCGGTCGTCGTATTGTAGTGCCCCCCGGTGGTCGCTCGAACATCACGTCTCTCAGCTAAACGACAAAGAATACAAGGGGATGCTCCCACAAACAACATCCAGACTGCAAGATTGAGGGTGGGAGGGAAAAGGGGGAGGGAGGGGAGAAGATGAAGAGGACCCCAATTATTAAAATTTAAAAAAATAAAAATAAAAAAAGCAAAACACTGAATCCTCATGCCTTACCTGTCTCTACACTACTATGCTCTGATGAGAACTGTATCCTTTTTCCTGGAGGGCATTGAAAAGGTTCAAAATTGCCACCAAAGCACATCACTTATGATCAATTAGCCTCACTTTTTCTCAGTGCAGAAGCCATAACACCTACAGAGAAACATGTTCTTGTTTTTTGGTTAAAAAAAAAACAATCCTGAGTTATACTAGGCACCATTACATTCAACTAATAATAAAATAAAGTGTTTCCAAAGGAAAATGGATACTGATTTTCTCAGAACGATGCTATTCTTCATTTACCTTGCTTGGCGTTCATTAACAACCCTTTTTATCAGTAGCCTGCTTTCTCCATAATCAGCCAAATCCACAGTAACACTAGACCCCACATTAGCCATGCCTCATCATGCAGTACCATTGATTAGCACTAGGTGGTGTTGTATATATGATAGATGTAATGTAACTTTGTGAATGATGTTACAGCCTGTTTGGATGTATTAGAACAAGCCGAATACGTGTTGCCTCTGAAAGCAGGAAAGCTGCTGGACATGGACCTGCATGGGCCACATTAATATGGGCGACCTGTTCCATGATCCGCTTCCTCCTCAGAAGTGTTAAATGAAAAACGTCCTCATGATGTAATGTTTTGATTAATGGCATAAAAGAAAGATTTGCGTAAGACAAAAAAAAGGCAGAAAAAATAAAAGGAGGAAATCTTGAAAGTGATTTTACTATTCTGTCTCCAAATTGTTTCTATCAGTTTTATTTTTTCTGATCTGTAGCCCTGTAAAAAAAAAATGCAAGAAACTGTTGTTTTTGTTTGCTTCTAGTACAATGACTGCTCCTGTAATTCTGCAATTATATCGCCACAAACAAACAGGCGAGCAAACCACGAGAAGCAGGAATTAACGACTTGTAATGTCTTTGTAGCAACTTGTAATGAAAAGCCTTGCAGATGCAACAACCTAATTAAAGAATAAGACTTGCTTTCAGATGGTGGTGCTTTACCTCCTGCTTTACTAGTTTATTTCATTCTCAGCTGTCTGGGCTCCCATTTTAGGATAAACTCAAAGCCACCATTCTCTTGGCATGCCAGTACAACCAGTGCAGTCATCATCAGCCTAATCAGGGACGGCATTGCAGCTTGTTTTTACATCTCTGCTGTTTTCTGCTAAGGGAGAGGATTGCAGTGCAGTACTGGGAATTTTTTACTTTATACTTTTGTTTTTGCCCTGTTGTTGGGGAGGGTTTGTAGACAAGTTCTTTTGATTTGGCAGACTGAGGCAGTGATATTTTGTTGTATTTATGTTAGTTTGAGAACCTTTGTTACTGTTTTTGTCTCCTTTTGTTACTGTTAAATTGAAACCCTGAGAAGACAGATCAAGACTGAAGAAGTGGTAGTATCATTTGTTTCCTGAATAAACAAGTTGCAACTGATGTCTCTTCTTTGATGTCAATTCCTCATTTGACACTAATAAGCTGAATAAGACACATGAACAATTGCATTCATTTATCACTTTAATCTATATATTATACTTAAATAATAATATAATTATATATATATATATATATAGTTATATATAGTTATATATATATATATGTAGTCATATAAAACTATACATCTAGGGGGAGTGGTGGCGCAGAGGTTAGAGAGGTGGGCCTGTGATCTGAAGATCGCTGGTTCATGCCCCGGGCCCAACAACATCAAAATTGTGGGTGGGGTAGGTGAAGCACCCAAACTTGCCCCCATCCTCATTCGCCCCACTCTGGGCCCATGAGCAAGGCCCTTAACCCCCCATCTGCTCCCTAATCAGGTCTCTCTTGAAAATGAGTTCTTGTGGCTCAATGAGACTACCTGTACAGGTAAATGAAAAAAAAAAATATATATACAGTATATATATACATACATACTCAATATTAAAATATATACTGGGGGCATGGTGGCGCAGAGGTTGGAGAAGGTAAGCCTGGGATTGGAAGGTTGTTTCAATTCCCCGGACTGACAACATCAAAATGGGGGTGGGATTGGTGAAGCACCTACACCTGTCTCCACCCTCATTTGCCCCATGGGGCCCTTGAGCAAGGCCCTTAACCCCACTATCTGCTCCCCCGGGTGCACTAGACAGCAGCTCTCTGCTCCACACAAAGGGCTGTGGTAGCTCAGTGGTCTGTGGTTGTGTCAGGAAGATGCGACTTAGTTCGCTGTGGTGACCCCTGACAAAGGGAGCATCCGAAAGAAAAAAAAAATGCATACAGGTATATATATATATATATATATATTATATATATGTAATATTACATCTTCCATATATATTAATATCCCTTTAAAGTTTAAATAAGGATTCCCATTCATTTTAATATGTTTGAAGCACTAATACTTTGGGTTTATAGCATAACTTCATAGTCAACTTGGACAATAATTAAAACTTTCTACATCAGGGGTGTCAAACCCACTTACAAAAGGGGGTCAAAATTAAAACCTTTTTCAAACTAAGGGCTGGTTTCAAAATCTACATTAACTCACGTTAGATACCCAGTGTCTTTTCTTGGTTGCAGGTTCCTCAACAAGAGTTTGACTGGTCTCATTTGATGCTCTCTGTTGCACTTTTGACATCATAAGCAAAGATTACTGATAAAAAAAAATAAAGTGATAAAAGTAGTTTACATTTAAAATATTATCTTGCAGGCTAGATAAGATGTCAACGAGGGCCACTTTTGGCCACCGGGCCTTGAGTTTGACACGTGATCTACATGATGTTGACATGATGTTCTTTTCTTTTGATCTTATAAAATGTTTATTACGTTCATATTTTTTTTTATATACTGATTCAAGTTTTATGATTTTGTCATTATTGACTTGCTTCCTGTTTTATTTTGAAGCATCTGCCTCTTTTGGACTTGGTATTCTTTTTCTTTTTGTTTTACACCTGAATTAGGTTTCCAGTTAGTGCACTAGCAGTTCGTTGCCAGCAGCCCTTCAGTCCATGCTCAAGCTTTCGTTGGGTTTGACTAAAAAGTAACCTCGCTTACATCATCCTACGTGACCACTCTCTGTGCTGTGTCCTGTATAAGAGCTCTTCACACCGTGGATCTTTCCACACAAATGTATTTGTAAATCTTAATTTTCTGCAAAGGTTCACCTGGTTGAAATAACAAACATGATTCTTCACCAAGGAGATACTGTATCTATTCAAATCAATGTCTTCTAGTGGAATCAATATATTATGAAATTGCAAATTAATTCTTATATTGTCATAGATTTCATTGCAAAAAAAGTTAAGCAAATGTGGACTGTGCCTTTCAGATTCCTGTAAACATTGTTCTAATATGCTTCTCTTTTAAGCTGAGGTTTGGCTTATCTGTGGTGCTCCTTGACAGAACGTGGAAGCATTTATCAAGTAGTCCATCCCCCAGTTAAGCCATTAATGTGGGAAAATGCTCCCTCAGCTATGTCTGCCGTGGAGGAAATATAGGGAATGTAACCACTGGATGGCCTGAGGGAGTGGCCATTTGAGGGCAAGACAAACATGATGGGAAAAGTATACAGTGATGGCCAGATGATTTATTAACGAGGCAGTCCATTTATTATTTTTTGCATTAAGTGTCATAAATTCTGTTAAAATATTTAGCTTATTTATTTCAGTTGAGTTCTGTGGTAATTCATGTGAAGGCGCCATCTTTACTCATGATATGTCACTTACCACTAGGGGGCAGCAATGCATTGAGGCTGCTGGACATACAAGCACACACACACACACACACAAATTGTACCATATTTTTGAAAGTATTGTTGGAATAAAACACAAATCAAATGTTTCAAATAAATAAATTTATTATTTAAGGCACACCTTTTAATAATTTCACTTTCATCACAGGTGATTACAGTCAACACACCATGACAACAAAACATGGGGTGATTCACAGACATAGAAAATCTGTTTTTAGGCTAAACTGTGTCTTACATGGGTTTTGAACCAACATATTGCAATGGTGTTGCCTGGCCTAAATACTATTTGTCAGTTAATGTTTTCAAATAAGCTAATTAAAGATCCCAGAAACAACTATTAGTAGTTTTTAATGTTGTACTTTAAATGCAATATGAAGCTCGTTGTCAGCAATTTATTACAACCCCTCACAATTATTATTTACACCAGGTATACCACATTTCCGTTCAACCATTTAACCATGCCAACTTTGGCTTACAACCTGCACAGGGTGCTACCTTTGAATCTGTAAAACTAAACTGGTCACGATGACAACAGCAACACAAAGGTAACTTAAAACATTGTGCCAGTCTTCAAGAGGAAAACAATGCCAACATTAATGAACACAGGGAAACAAATATGATGCCAGTTTAATCACTAGAGATCACAGGATTAAAAGTCTTGGCTTATTTTGCCAGTCACTACAATAGTGATGAGACCTTAGTAGAAATCACATTTTAAATGAGTGAATGAAAGACATTTAGGTTTTCACAACGCCCACAAACAGATATAAGCTTTGTGTCATATTGATGGGATAAGGCATCCCTCTGCAAGCTTCAGAGGCAAGAGTTTTTTTAAGCTGATTTGAAAAGTATAAAGTCATAACATAACAAAAGGGTGTCACTTTGCCTTGCAGAAATGTGATGAAGAGTTTTAGATCACATGTGAAGAACATACTCGACTGAAAAAAAAAGCCTTCTCATCTAGAAGCACTTCATAAGTTTGATTGTTTCTATCCAACATAATGCATATATAACAAAACGGATTTAGTCACAGACAATAATAAAAAAAGAAAATCTGTACAGTTGTAAATCTACATTAGTGAGGAAAAATGTTTCCACTCACAGGTTTATCTGTGTGTTTCTGTGCATAAATGCTACAAGTTATGAAGTATGTGCAAAATGTGATGCAGTGCTGAACTTAATTATCTACTTTGTTTTCCTATCTGAAGCTTCAACTATTCATCTGCTCACTAAGATTAGTCCAAAATGCCTTTCTGTTTTTGTTTACCAAAAAAATAAATAAATTCGATCATTATCCTTCATGGCTTGCTTTTTGCCACACTTGGTGGCTTTTTTGTGCCAAATGAACTTCTGAGGATAAAAGTCACATTTATTTTTAAATCCAGTTTTCTGTGGGTGCATTTAGAACTTCTGCGTGTCCAACTTGAAACGATACACAAACCAAGAAAGCAGCTTTTGTCTGTTCCTGCCACAGACAGAACTACAGCATAATACAAAATGCTACAGATCTACTATTACTGTTAATGCTTACCTAGCATAGCATTATAATCTTTACAACTATATTTAGCTACTGCTTTGATAAAGTGAGACATTTGTGTTCAAGCCTATAGGTCAATTCTATAAACTCAGAAGAATTGAGGTCTTCTGTCTTGAAAACAGAGCTCTTGTTTCATTTAATCAGACTATCAGTTTCATTGTCATACTTTTAACCTATAATGGTAGATAACAATTACTATAATCCAGGGGTTCTCAAACTTTTTGGGTTCAGGGACCCTTTACAGGGGAGAAAAAGATTTTGGGACCCCCTCATAACCCTCATGCTTCTTAAATAATTTTATTCAATTTGTCTCTTTAATGTAATGGAAATATTTGTGTTACACAAATACTTAAGACCTGTTCTTTAATAGTGTTAACACAATTTTTATACTTTTAAACATGGAGTATTTTTCATTTAAGACACTTAATTAACAAAATGTTTAATTTCAACTTCCAAAAATTACAGTTTTGAGAAAATTAACAGTATCAAAAACTTGGATGCACGATATTAGATTTTTGGCTGATATCCCATATGCTGATATGTAAAAACTTATTTTGCCGATAACCAATACCAAGATTTT